TAGCAAATATTGGCACGCTAACACACTAAGCTCAGATGGTAAATGAACCAGGTTTGTCACTGTGGGCATGTGAGCATGCTGGCTAGTCTTGTTATTTTAACATTGCAGATTTAATTAATTTACTACTTAATCCATACCAGCCAACTTTTCAAAAAACCTTGGAGTGAGATTTTGTCGGGGGTGACCAGAATTTTGCCGCGCACGCAGCCACACAAGTTGGTGGCTCAGATATCAGAGAACTGGAATTCATGTGATGTTGTACCCATGTTGTACCCATGTTGTACCCTGCATTCTGGTGGTTTGTGGGGAGGCCCAAAGCCATTGATAGGGGCAGCCTACTGGAGATGGACAATATTGGTTACATTCTGAGAAGCAGACATAGCTGAAGGTCCACCCCCAGGAAATTTTGGATTAAGTAGAAGTGATTTCCTGCATTCTAGTGGATTTTTGGGGTGGTCTGTTAAAGATGTGCAATACCTGAACTTATTCTGAGTCATGTTCGGCATCATGACTTGTAGGGCCTTCTAGACTTGAGCTGAACATTCAACCAGAAAACTATTGTTGTGCCTAAATGACTGCCTGTATCACAATAAAGCCTTATTCATAGACCAGTGTTTAAGATTTGACCTAGGTATCTGTAGGTTGATTGATATTTTGATTAGAATGGTATTAAACTAATTCTTAATTCTTAACCGAACCTATGTTGTGAATAATTGTATTCTTAAGAGCACTTCATGATTTATGTTCTCTCTCTCTTATGGCTCTCCTGCTGCTTGTTATGACAGCTCTTCTTCTGTCGCTAACTTCGGGGTGCCATAGACTATGTATATAGAGCGGGGTGCAGCATATATGGGTGCAGCGCATAGGGTTCAGTGACGCTCATCAGCGCCATCCACCGTCGGGGAGCTTGAACAGGAACGAACGAGTCTCGGCCCAAGATCGGATTTTTTTTGCGTGAGAAATTGGATGTGTGGCGTGACTGCGTGTGAAAACAGGCAAAACCGTGTGTCACACGGCGAAAGCGTGAGAGTTGGCAGCTCTGCTTAATCTTCCCCACCACTGAACGAAATAGAGACTTATTCACCGTCGTTAGAAACACCGTCCTTGATGATACAATACAACAAGTATCTTTTTTGCAGGAAAAAAGTTAATCTTAAAGAAGAATATTAGCAGAAAACATGGACTATTAGCAATTAGTGTAAAAGCATTTTGAATTTCATATTAGTTGATGCTTAATAAATTCTAACTTCTTAGCTGTCTCATGCTTGACAACCCACGTTTGTGTAAATATTTATTATTATGATAATAAGTGTAATGATTTTACACTAAAGTAGTACGCACTTTACAAATGATGTTTATGTTCGGTGCATCGTCCACCGTCACCAGCTCATACAGCGATATAATCATTCAAACAGTTAATGAAAACTTTCCATTTGCTGCTATTAATACCCAGTATCTAGTCAGGCCTTGGATGAAAAGACATAAAATAAGTGCTGCTTTTAAGTCTGCAGTTAGAATAAGAAATAACTTGAGTGTGTCCTAAAGAAGCTCTAATTTCACCCACAGATAGCCCGAGGAAAAACACAACTCAGCAATGGCTGCTTAGCAACAACGATGAAGACCAAACAAGGTCTTCCAATACATTTAGACATAATAGTCATAGCTTAAAAGAACAAGCTGATAGAAAAGTCAAGGTTTACTTTTCAGCCATCTGTTCTTCCTTTTGTCCTTTCTGGTGGCTTTCCAACACACCTGTCTCTCAAGATGTGCACCGACTTTTCAAAAGCAGCCTTTCATAGAGCCTCGTGACGCCTGGGGAGCTTTACCTGCAGGCACACACGGCATTTCAACTCAGATGTCTCACATTTGCACCCGTTGCTCCTCATAGTTTCTCAACACACCATTAAACCTCACCAACATCAGACCTGCAGACAGGAACACATTCATTTCCCTTCAGTGCAGTTTATTCAACCATTCTCTTCGCATTCAGCATCATTTCCATTACAGGTGTCTAGGATGAAGCTAACAGGGTGTAACAGGCAGAGACAAAGGCTCAGTTTCCTGTGTGAGCCAGCTCTTTAAATACACAGGTCTATTTACTGTACAGGTACCGTGTAAAAACAGCGCTGATGGCAACTCGCCAGCCAGTAGAGCTCTTTCTGGGCTGTTTACATCTCTATACAAGAGAGATATAGTACTGATGTCTTTCACGCTTGTCTGAGTGGTAAGTTTAATTGGGAGCTTGGAAATTCTACCTGTCAATTAATGCTGTAATGGATTCTTACAGTAGCCTATAATCATGTAAAATGTATGCAATATGTTACAACAGCATAAATAAAAACATTCATTTGTCACATGGATTATTTCCTCTGCATACTGCTTAGTGTGGAACCATCACCTCAAATGACTGTACAGGTGACATAACTGAACAGCTACAGAGCTTTCATGTTATGTGAAGGCTGAAGGCAATAATAGACGAGTACTGATTAAACATAAAATGAAGAGGCTCTACTCAAGTTTCCAGCTGGCAGCATCATTTCTGCACTTTTCAGAAATGATGCTGCCAGCCACCCTCTCAGAAACCCCGTGGAGTGAAACCATATGATTGCTGTAAACGCCTGTGGGGAAGGAGGCTTGCCAATGTAAAGGAAGCAATTCCCTCTCCCACAGGAAAGAGATAAAAAAAAAAAAACAAGCACAAGTAAGTATAGGATCATGAATAACAAATAATTTATGGTGTGGAAACGTTACTATTTACTAATCTTTTATTGGCAGATGTTTTATTACAGTGGTTTTTGGGGCTTTTTTTATGCTTTTATTTGATAAGACAGGTGAAGACTGGTAAGAAAAGGAGACGAGAGAGGGAGGACAACATGAGGCAAAGGGTCAAGGGTTAGAGTTGCACCAATTGCTGCTGCAGCGAGGACCCAGCCTTGGTACATGGGGCACCAGATCTACCAGATGAGCTACCAGGACACTATGGATGTTCGATATGGATCCAGCCGATAAGATAACCGATAATTACCTGCTTCTCATGGCCGGTTCCGATAAGATAACCAATCATTTCACATTTTTGTATTCAAAACAGAAGTTCAAATGTTTATTAATTTTCTAGTAAAGTTAGAGCCTATCAATCATTTTCCATAAGAACTGAAAATAAATTATTATTTATTATTACCACATTAAAACAACCTCTCTGATACTTTGTATTTAGTTACTGCAGACTTGAAAGGCTCTGATGTGCCTGTACAACTGATTTTCAGTGATTATTCAGGTAGATATATAATAATATATATATAATAATATATATATAAGTTACAGTAGCATATAGTAAATTTAAGGTTGGGTATCCCAGCCTCACCACCGGTATAGGTACACTGAGATATGACCATAACCACTCCACATTGCATACAATTCCCTGTGTGTCCATGTATGACTTCTACCTATTCCAAATGAATGTTAAAACCAAATACATTTCACTGTAGCTAGTCCTCTGTCTTTCCAGCTCATCAGAGAAGGAAAATCAGCTAGAATTAAAGTATTCAAAAGAAAAGGTGACTTTGATTTTCAAATTATGATTATACCCCAGGTCTACTGAAGTCCAATAAGTTTCAGTCTGAGGAAAAACAGCTTTGGTAAGTGAATGATTTTACCAGTAGTTTAATTCAAACACCTTGAAAGTTTGAAAGTCATAGAAACTTGTTTGGGTGTGTCTGTTATCTGAGTGAATGTGGGGACTGTGTTTAAGATGAGACAAGGGTAAAAGGGGAAGGAAACAAAAAGAGGACCAGCCAATGTAAAGTTAAATATTGTTAATATGTTAAAATCTTGACAGAGATCTGAGGAAGACTGACATTGATAATGGTGATTAAGCTTTTGATGAGATATACCAATAGGCTTCCACATCTGTTATCTGTTAACAATAGTTAAAGTTATTTAATGTACTAATTCAGTATTACAGACAGCAGTGTAGTTTCCTTTGGTTGATGCAGCCAAGTTTCATGTCTTTGTGCTTGTAATTTGTTGTTTGTGCCACTGGATGGAGACAAAATCTAAACTGAATACTTCATTACGTGTTTCATGCTTGTCAGGAGAGATTTTGAGCAAATTTAATGCAAAATAAGGCAACAAAGGTAAAACCACAGAAGATCTTTTCCAACAAGAACCAGTGTTTGGAACAGGACTCAGTCACAGGTTTCTCATCACTCATAATGGAAGTCTATAGTGGGGTTGTTTCAGTGATGCAGTTCTAAATAGAGCCTGGTGAATCTGAGGCAATAATAATCAATCAAAAATCAATTTTAATTTCAGAAAAATTTCAAGCTGCGTTTTGATCTATGATGCAGACTGGGAAAAGGTAAGTGAGGAAGATACATTTCCTGATACTCATGGGCAAACTGCATCAGCAAACAATACAAGAACAAAAAAAAGGAGAGAATAAATCACACAGTCAAAACACAAGAATAAAGATATGCAAAATAAATCAACAAAACTAAAGTAAATGAATATGCAAGGTAAATATTGTTGAGTAATTATAATAGTTTTTATAACAACAACAACAACAATAATATAGTATATAATACATTCAAAATAAGTGGTGTTTTGAATAGATAAAGGTTTAGGCAGGCTTTGATAATGAATCCATTATGAAATCATTTACTGGCTTTAACAATGTGCGTATTTATTAATGTTGTTGCCACCTGTTCGTGAAATTGCACCACTAGCACTGTTTAACTTGTCGCACTGTGCTCTGGCCAGTCCCAGCTGCCTCCAGTAGACATGTTTGTGAACATTTATTAAATGAACTCAGGGATGATGTTGAGGGGTAAACAGAAATACACTGAGAAGACACTGAGCATCCTCCGACTGTCTGCCCCGCAGACATACCATTTACGTGTCCTCCTATTGGTTTAGAATCGAAGGAGGAATCCTTAAACCGAGACCTCATTGGCTCACGGCAGTGTCAATCACTCTCGTCACCGCTAGTCTATGCAATCGGCTCTCAGATGCGGAACAGGGAGACAGAGAGCATAGCAGGCATACATAGGTAGAGGGGGCGGACGACTGTTGCCCTTCATCACTTCAGCACAATTTTATACTGTTGCGGGCCGGTTGTATTATTTTATCGAATTGGACCGAGGTCACTGAACCGCTGTGAAAATGGCGCAGCCAGACAGCAAGAAGATATTCTTTGAGAACCTGTCGGGAGCGGGGAAAGCTATCGCAGTGCTGACGAGCGGAGGGGATGCTCAAGGTAAAGTGTCAGTCTCACACACATTCATCAGTGTGTGAGTGTGAACGGGCCCGCAGAGGGCGAACATACACCCTCTTCAACTGTGTGCCGCTTTTAGTGACAGTGAGCTGACGGTGTTCGGTGTTTTCACGGCGTAGGCAGCACCGCGCTGCAGCTAATGTCCATCAGTAAAACAGCGAGCTTATGAGCATTCATCCAGGAAGAAGCCCGCCAGTTAGCATGCTAACACGACTTATCCTGCTAACGCGCTAACAGTCTCATCCTCGTCACTGATTTGTGTCTGTCGCTCGGCACAGTGACAACACTTCAGAGAGCCGCCACGGTCGAGCCGTTTAAGTCTTCTCCTATTCGCCACACACCAGGGTTTATTAGCGGTGTTATAAGGGGACGAGTTTATGTTACCGTTTAATGAACTCACAGGCTATTAAAGTTGGATGAGGCGGTGACAAGGTGAGCGTGCAGGCCACTCACTGCATTGCGGGCGGCGGGGAAGCACCGGTCTACGTGAGGAGCGCAAAGTGACTATGAAGGAAGACACTGCAGAGAAAGCGTGCTCAGCGTGTTCGTGCTGAGTGAGATGAGAGCTGAGGTTGTGGTTAGCAGTGACTGTGGGCCAGTGGTGGGATGCCTGTGCATCCTGCGTACGTGATGAGCTGCATACATCTCTGCTACGTCTCTCCCGGCCGGGCCTGCGTCACAGAGGAAACCCTGGTCATGTGCTCACCGGCTCAGCTCTTCAGTTGACTGAAGGACCAGTTATACACACCTCCCGTGGATCAGTACACTTTAATGAAGTGCTATTAGATCAGCAAAGCTACATTCATTCTACACAAACCAAAAGTAGCTTTCAGCTCAGAAACTAAAACGTTATTTATTAGTAAGTAACTATTAGTTGGCAGTGAATAGTGGGCCTATTGTGTGGCAATGTGATATTTTAATAATAATAATACAATTTTAGACACACACACACACACAATTTACAATAATATATCATGTTGAAGCATTGGAGATGATATATTAGCCTATAATCATTTAATGGAATACTTTTTTTTATTAAATCCACAGTAACACAGATTTTTGTTCCTGTATTGATGCACAGGTATAGAATAGCAGATTGTGTAGCTGATGTAGTAGTTACTACAATGTTCTATTCATGTTTCCTGTTAAGCTACAACAGTGTGACAGTGAGTGGTCCAGCATGCATCAATGCAAACAGCAGCTAAATGGAACTCAGCCATCGTTCTTTTATTATGTACACCTGTGTTTGTCCTATTATGACGTGTGGAAAGGTCTTTAGCTTTAGTTTTAGCTCGCATTCTCTACTTTCTGCACTTTCTAGCCAACGAGAAGCAGCACTGCGGTTTTCGGCATTTTAATTGCCAGCCGAGTTATCTACATTGTAGTGCTCTCCTTGGCTCAGGAGAAAAGCATTGATCTTTGGTGGGTGGTTATATAATTAGAGTGGACTGCTGGCGCACACATGAACGAACACACACACACACACACACACACACACACACACACAGAAAGGAGCGCATGGAGTTGGCCTCAGAGCAAACCAATGAGGCCGCTGTGGCATGCATGACAGGATCTGAATGTCGGTGTCAGAGGGCATTGTGTAGCCTTGGCTTACTCTTTTCGCTCACTCTGCATGAGAAAGTGTTAGTCCTGCAGAATCAGATGGTCAAACTTAATGACTTTCTTCTAAGTTCGACAAGCAACGTGAAAGAAACATTTCTTGGATGATCTTTAAATTGTACCTTGGTCCTTCTCACTCTAATTCTCCCTTTGTTTGTCTCTCAGTCTGTAAACCTCTTCCGTCTTCTCTGACTGATTGAACCAGGCTGTTCATTTGTAAATGGTTATGTAACGAGACAATGGGTCATTCACTGTTAGACTGGACAGCATGGTGAATAATTGGACCCTCTGTAATGGGTGCTTTGTTGGTTCTGTGACTTTCCATGTAGGAAAAAAAACACTTATTTCTTTTTTTATATACAATTTTTACTTCTTAGTATAGTTTACCTTATAGGTTTCACTGTCCTTTCACGTCCATTGCTGTCGTCTACAATGCCCCAAACTTTGTGTTGCTTAGTAACAGCGCTGCCATTAGAGCTGTAGTGTTCACTAGTTTGTGCAGAGAAAAGAGAACCCAGTCCTTTCCTCTGTTTATATCTCCTCCAGTCAGCCAAGTTCCTGTCTGCCTGCTGTGTGTAAAGCACTCTTATTCCCACTGTCAGTGTTTAAGCTAACCTACAATTGACATTCAAGTCACAGAGCTGTGCCTTATTGGTTACTAAGTTCATTTTGGCTAACCACAAAGTAACTGGAAAGGCTGTAGGAGGAGCTGGGGAACCTTTTGACCAAAAATGGCAGTGTGTGCTGTAGTGAGAGAAGATATTGGCCAAAGCCACAGATAGACAGTATAAACTAGGATTGTCTGTGTTCAAACACACACACACACACACACTAACATACATTGTCTCACATATTCAAGACACAAATATAAAGAGAGGAATTAAAGTGTTACTGCTGCAGTTGTTCATGTCAGAGATTAAAAAAATATCCCTGCAGAAACTGTGAAACAGGCCTGCAAATAAGGATTTTACACGATTTGCCACAGTTGAAACATGTGTTTTCCCTCTTTAGAGCCTTAATATTTACCCTGCTCATCACTGCACTGTTGCACAAAATTTGTTTTATTGTAAAGATCACTTTTTTGTTTTTATTTTTTTCAGGCATGAATGCTGCTGTACGTGCCGTGGTTCGAATGGGGTTATATGTGGGAGCAAAAGTTTATTTCATTCATGAGGTGAGCCCAAAACTTTGTGTTGATCATTATTAAGGCCTTTTTGCCATTGTTAGTAGTTCATTTTATGTTATAGAAGTGGGTGTAAAGCAGGAAAAACACGATTACATAACTGCACGTACATTTTTTAAAGAAAAGGTTTGCATATCTTTTCAGTTTAAAGACTTCAGTTAAAATGTGCAATTGTTAAACTTTTTTAACAACTTATGTCAAATATTCTGGAAGTAGTGACAAATGAATGCATGTCATGAAGGCACGACTGCACACAGCAGGACTCGTCTGTACAAACACAGGAATGTTTATTCTCACACAGCAGCTGTTAGAGGAGTTTCGGCGAGGGCCGTGCTCTGCTTGCTCATCCTGTGATCCCTGCACATCTGTGTATGTCATGGACGTCCTCGCTCAGTGTGTTGTTACATAACTGACTTGAGGCTTTAGCAGATGCCTCACATGAAACTCCCCTCCCACTCAGGTACCACAGTACTCTGTTTTCTCCTGCACGCTTCAGCAGGACACTGTCTGAGGACATCAACAAACTTTGAACCACCCGTATTAAATCCTCGAGTTATACAATTACATATGTGTACTGTTCTGTGGTGCTGCATTTGGTTGAAATATTTATTTTATTCTCATGATGACAACCTAATGATGCAGTCCATAGACCACATTTTAGCTTAATATATCTGTTTGGAACTCTCTTGCATTTATTGACTAAGAAGCGTCTTCTTTTTTTATCAGGGGTATCAGGGTATGGTGGACGGTGGAGACAACATAAAAGAAGCCTCATGGGAAAGTGTCTCCAGCATGCTACAAGTGGTGAGTAATTATCATGGGCAGCATTCCACACATCTAATGCAATTACTGTACGGGCTCTAAAAACAGCTCTGTCATTGTTCGATAATTATACAAAAATTACGAATACGATTAGAGTAGAGTAGAAGTTCTCAAACTTTTCCTATTACAGTACTTTAAATGAAAACGAGGAACATGCAAGTCATGCAGCTAAAAGATAATGCTCTTTTGAAAACATTTTCACACTTGTCATCATCAGGGTGGGACTGTTATCGGCAGTGCTCGCTGTAAAGAGTTTCGCACCCATGAGGGACGTCTGAAGGCAGCTAACAACCTGGTGCAGTACGGCATCACCAACCTGTGTGTTATTGGTGGAGATGGCAGTCTGACGGGAGCCAACCTCTTCAGGGAGGAATGGAGTGGGCTGCTGGCGGAGCTGGTGGAGCAAGGTACGGGGAGACGTACCTCCTCTTTGCTTCCTCCTGATGCTATTGTGTTCATTTAGAGTTTCTCTGCTCAATACCTCTGCAATTACTGCATGCTATAAGAAAACACATTAGTCACCACTTAGAGATTTTTGTATTTTTAGGAAATGTTGCTTTATTTTTGGATAGTGACAGTAGAGAGAGACAGATAAGGCAGGGAGGGGGGAGAGGGGATGACATGGAGCAAAGGGTGCAGGACCCTGTGGCAAGGACGTATGTGGTACACACTCCTAGGGCTGCCACAATGAAGGAATTTCCCTCAAGGTGATTTTGGGTGGCTTAGCAGCAGTAAGCAGTATTACCATCATTGTTTTTGCTAATTACTTAGTAATCAGTACAGCAGGGTAATGTTTAATCTCAGTACCTGCTTGCATTAATCACCTGCACTGTCCTTCCCCCTGGGTCCGTGACCCCGTTAACTGCCCCGATTTTATTTGGCTTAAAGAAACCAAATACTGAACATGACGTGACATCATTGTCGTTGCGGCGGTTGCTTATCATCCCCTGTGATTGGCCTGTCAATTGTGTGGTATTCCATTATTGTGCTTATTGTGGTAGCCCTCGAGCTACTGGGGCACCCACCACCACCAATTATTGATTTGGTTTCCACGCTGACTCGTTGCAGTACCTGCCAGTATTTGTAGACATTTCAGGTTGTAGGATAGATACTTTGTACATCCCACATCCTCTGATACTCTACATTAGAACGTCGTCCATTAGCTTTTCTATTCACTACTATTTTTTCTCCATGCTCATACTGGCTGTTGTCAAAAAGGATCTGCTTTCATTATGAAACCCTGCCTCTTCATTTTGTTTGATTTGTACACACACAAACAATAGTCCATGTACCACTTTCATTTCTGAATAGTCAGATAATCCTAGTTCTAATCTGAAGGAGTTCTTATTGTAAACTGTTTTTGTTTTTTTCCTGACCTCAGACCTGTTTCCATTGCTGCTCATCCTGTCATATTTTGACAACAAGCTGGGAGAATTACTGTAGAAATACATTGGAAAACACTTGTTAACTTCCTGATCCTTTCAGGCTTGATCGAAACTGATGCCATTCAGAAGTATTCCGCCCTTCACATCGTGGGGATGGTTGGCTCCATTGACAATGACTTCTGTGGAACTGACATGACAATCGGCACTGACTCCGCCCTGCACAGAATCATTGAAGTGGTGGACGCAATTATGACAACTGCACAGAGGTGAGGGGGAGATGGAGCCCCTGTATTTATCTACAGTATATATGCTCTGTTTAGTAAGACTATGAGCAGTAATACCCCTTAAACTGACAAATAAAACATAATGCCGTATAAGTCCATTTAAAGTCCTAAACCGGACACTTGTAATTATTGTGCCTGAGAATCCCCTTATCCTAAAATAGAAATGGCTGGATAAACATGGACATCTGTCTGTTAACTACTTACCACACTAATTTAAGGATATGTAGTACTGAAACTGGAATGTATAAAGAAGTTAAAATAAAACATGTGCACCCAGTTCAGGCTAATTTCAGCTCCATTGATCCTCTTTCAAATGTCTGTTCTAGTCTAATGCTGTATTACTACAATGCACTGTTAAATCATATTTTCTGTTTGTGTTTCAGTCACCAGAGAACATTTGTGTTAGAGGTCATGGGCAGACACTGCGGGTAAGAATGCATTTGATAAACTTCCTAGCAGATCCAAAAACATAGTTCCTAAGGGAGAGACTGAGACCATTATCAACTCTGTTTATAGACACTGTGTATTTTGTCTATGTTTTATCCTAGCTACCTGGCCTTGGTGAGCGCCCTGGCTTGCGGGGCAGACTGGGTGTTAATTCCTGAGATGCCCCCAGAGGACGGCTGGGAGGATAAGATGTGTCAAAAACTGTCGGCGGTAACACAATCTTATTTATTCTCTATAGTAAACCCAATGAACCATATTGTACCAGTGTCAGTGCTATATAATGTTTCATTATTGTCTTGTTTAACACGATATTATTCTGCACAGCTCTTCAGTTTTTCTACAAGGAGTGAATTCTGACTTTTTTTTATCAGAGAAGACTGATGTGAAGCGAAGTGATTAGTCTCAGTCCTCGGGTGTCTTACTGTGTTTTTTCTGCTTTGGAAACACGCCATTGTTCTATGATTCAGACCCGTTCCAGGGGCACAAGACTGAACATAATCATAGTTGCAGAGGGAGCCATTGACAGGCATGGGAAGCCTATAACCTCTAGTATTGTCAAGGAAGTGAGTACCTGAGTGTAAAGAAAGGGGAAGCCAGAAGCATGGAGACCCGACTGATGGAAATAAGTCTTGTGAGCCACCAGTTGCTTAAATATTCTGTGGTACAGTTTTCTTGCAGTTTGTCTGCCGTGATAAAAATATTTAACAAGACGTTAGTAGAAGAGTCCATCTCATCAGAGTTCCTGATAAGATAATCATGATGCTGCATGCTAAGTCCGATAATGCAGTAAAGACTAAGTTGGCAGGACACTTCTGATTGCAAAGTGCAAAAAAGTTTCAATATGAAAGAACGTGTCCTATCAGCTCCCCGGCTGCTGGCATCGTCTGGCCCCCGTGCTTCTGAAAGACCACGTCACAGCCAAAGTCTCAGTTTTTCTGTCATGTTGTTTCTCCACCACCCCTCCTTGTAGAACCGGGCAGGGATGAAAAGGCTGAATATCATAATTGTAGCCGAAGGGGCGATTGATCGTAACAACATGCCCATTACCACTGACTATATCAAGAATGTAAGTACAGAGCTTTGTGTACAAGTTCCAGCTTCGACTGCCTCCTGTATGACCTCTACTACTGTACTGCTGCCCTGGTGTGGCTTTGACTCTGTTGCTGTGTTTCTGGAGTGCTCTATCAGACACACACTCTAGTTTGGTAAGACGGCTTTCACCGTACCACTACCGCTGTAAAGCTCAGAGCAGATACCCTCACTAAACCTCGCAACCAGACATTTGTAACATCAAATGTCATATATTTATAACTGCCTGTCACATAGTCGTATTGAATATGTTTTGACACTTGCACACTGCTCATAGCCTGCACTAACTGTTACTCATTTGAAAGCAAACACGACAAGCATTTTGTTTTGAATATCAGAGTATTTAATTTAGCACTTCCTGCTTGGGATCTCCTGTGATGTTCGGTACAAGCTAAGAGCTGCCCGCTAACATGACTGAAAAATTAGAATGGCTTGCTTGTGCTTTGCTGTTTCCCCTTCTCTTCAGCTTCTCCACTGTGTTTGTGTTTCCGTGTGATGTGTCTGTCCATGTATGTATGCCTTTTTGGATATAAATTTGTTTCACAGTATAGTTCTACTGCAGGACATAATTTTACATTTAGCTATGTAACTTATATGCATGATACATATTAAGGATCCATTAGTCCAATCTACAGTAGTGTTTCCCATTAGAGGAATAACAAAATGTATTGCTACTGTGTTTGCTAAGACCTGTGTATGTTATCCTCCTAGCTTGTTGTCAAATGCTTGGGTTTCGACACGCGAGTCACAATCCTGGGACATGTGCAAAGAGGAGGAACCCCTTCTGCTTTTGACCGTATCCTGGTAGGTCCACCACTTTTTCATAATCGCTTAATAATTCATTAATTCAGTCATTTTCCAAGCAACATTTGCTGGTTGCAGCTTCTCAAATATCAGGATTTGATCTTCTTCTTTGTCACATAGGCAAATGGAATATCTTGTATTGAATAAAACATGCTATCTAAATAGATCACCTTGGCATGTGGTGAGTTTTAACAGGCATATTTCACTATTTTGACAGTTTATACACAAATTGATTGATGGAGAAGGTAATTGTTAGTTGCAACTATAATAGAAAATTGATTACGTGCTGATTTTAGAACCATAACATTGTCACATGTGATTTATTTGTCTTTCTTTCTTTGACTACAGTTTACATGCTTAACCTTTTACTGTTTCTATTATAATAGAAATTCTCTATTCAATCCAAGTGTGCACACTTTTGATTTAGTGTACACTTTGGCTACGTGCTCTATTTGAGATGTTTTGGTAGGAATAATCCAGTTGTCCAGAGCTCTACTGTTTAATCCTGTGTGTGTCTGAGGAGAAATGGCCCGGGTTTTAGGTTAAGCACATTAACAGATTTATGGCTCAACATGTGAAGCACTGCATCGCAGATAATGAGCGACAGTTCTCTTCATGTTAACTAAAAATTGCAGCACACCTACTGTGGAGAATTCAGTCCAATTGTGTGTCCAGTGTGAAAAAGAAATCCCGTTTGGGGAAAATGTGTTGACAAAGGACACATTACAAGTGTACAGGAGAAACAAACAAGGTTTTGATAGTGAGGAAGATGAGTGTTATCTGTGTTTGTGTTTGCTCACACAGGCCAGTCGTATGGGTGTGGAGGCAGTTCTCGCCCTTCTGGAGACCACAGCCAACACGCCAGCCTGTGTGGTCTCTCTGTGCGGCAACCAATCGGTGCGCCTGCCTCTGATGGAGTGCGTACAGATGGTAGGCACTGGACTGGGCTGGAAACAGGCCAAGACTGCAACACACACACAAACATAACATCGTATTTAAAAAACAGGGAAGGTGAGGAGAGAGGGGAAACTGCAAAGCACATCCAAACACAGGGAAATGACTGCTGGACTGGAGAGGCAGAGTCAATGGGCAACGGGTTGGAGGAGCATAAGTAACGATAACAAACAGCACAGCCCACTGGGCCTGGAGTGGTATTAATGTTCACATGAGAGCTGTGTTGTTTGAGAGGCAGTTGTGTCTGGTTAATGATTATCTGAAGCATTTGGCAGCGTTGATGATGATTGCCTGCAGGATGGGATGTAATAGCAGCCCATCTCCATAGGATGCAAAAAGGAGCTTTATTGTTATGTTACAGGTCGAAACAAGGTTACATAGTAGCTATTTCATGGGCTGGATCAGAGGATGACATGTTAACTCTTGTATTGTTCTTTTGTTATTATACCAGTTAGCCCTTCGTGCAGCAATTGTTAAACTCATAATAGACATTTCAAAGATCACAGTGTGAATGCCGACAGACATTTAATCTTAGCTGATCTGAATTACAGAAAGTGCCTCTGCTTTTGTACATACAGGAAGTACAGTGTATGAAATAATACTGAATTCAAACTGAAAATACTCCCACTCTTTTCCTCAGACTCAAGAGGTCCAGAAGGCCATGGATGAGAAACGGTTTGAGGAGGCAGTCAAGCTTCGGGGCAGGTATGATTGACAGCCCGCTGGGACCAATCCAAAGCCATCACTTCACTCAAGATCAAGAGCATCAGTTTGATGTTGCTTATTTAAGACAGGTGTAGTAGGGAAAGTGGATCATGGTGCTATTTTAGAACACAACCAGCCTGTTGTTTATACACAGGATACAGTCAGGGACCAGTTGGAAAACAATATATTCTGTAGCTAATTGAAAATACAACCACACTATTTCTTTTTAACAATATTGCATGAACCATGTTTTACTGCAGGAGTTTTGAAAACAACCTGAAGACATACAAACTGCTGGCTCATCGTAAACCAGAATCCGAACTGCCAACTGTAAGTTACCTCACGACATCTTGACATTCCCGTTGGGACTTTTGACGCTGACGGTGTTGTCAGCTCTCTGTGTTTTTTTCACACATACAATAGCTGTCCCCACCATGCCTGGAGTGCAGGTTGTATTTAGAAGGAGATGAATTAGCCTCCCAAAGCCACTGAGATGTTTAAATTTTTATTAAGGATCTGCCTACAAATAATGACTCAGCTACTGCAGTCATGATGCACCATGCTGCTCCTATTTTCAGATGTACCCTTGGCTCACATACTGAGTAAAGTATTCCTGTAAATGTGTCGTTGTGGGTTGGCCAAGTTGAGTATTTCTCTGAAAAGAGGTGCATTATAGCATTCTAGTTACACTGGCATCCATCAGATATGATGTCAGTTCTTTCCTACTGTTAAGTGGAAAATAATGTGACACGTAATTATGGTGACCAGATAATAATTAGCAGTTTTTACCTAAATGCTGCATTACCTTTTATTTGCTGTGTAGCCTGTAATTGTAGTGACAGGCTTCTCACGGGGCCCAGGTGGCTCAGTGTTGGTCTGTTGTGCAGTGATATCAGATGACACCTGGCTCCCCACTGAGGGATGACTTGTTTAACCCTGCCAGGAGCTGCGGCAGCCTGCTGCTGTGGCTCCAAAGGAGGCAGCTCAGACTGAAGATCAGTGAAGTGTAGTAGAGGCAGCGTGGTGGATTCCATGCTGTGGAGCTCGCCTCAGGGTTTGGCTACCCCTGAATCTGCGATAATGACCACTGTAGGCCCAGCATGTCGCCGAGAGAGCCCACCAGGAACCATTTACTGACTCACTCTGCAGAGCTTGATCAACAACTGTAACATTCTCTCTATATTTAATGTGAGGATTAAAAAAATTTGCATTTCATGTGCGTTTTTCTGTGTGTTTCTGCCCTCAGAGCAACTTCAATGTGGCAGTGTTGAATGTCGGTGCCCCGGCAGCAGGCATGAATGCTGCCGTCCGTTCGGCGGTCAGGGTGGGCATCTCCGAAGGGCACAAGATGTTTGCCGTCAGTGATGGCTTTGAGGGTTTCTACAAAGGACAGGTAGGTACTATAGCACTGATGTACTGTACTATTGCATGTATAAAACAATTCAATCAAAGATCTTGTTGGACAGTCATCACACTAAATAGAGATTTAATATTAGATTTTAAATATATTCATTAAATATTCTACCCGAACAGCTTAATAAAATACTGTGTAACTGCTTTAATCATGTTTTATTCAAACAGAATTGGTGAGTCACACAGTACACATTCACTGTTAACTCTCTGACTGAAGAATAATCAGGGAAACCCCGGGGATAATCTCTCCAGATTAATGTAAACCAATTTCCCACACAGACTGTCCCTACTCAGCCAAAGTTGATGTAGTACCAGAATAAAGCGATAGTGGGCGACAGACTGTAAAATACAGCTTCGGTATATTCAGTCAGTGGGATGATTCTCATCTGATCTAACTAGGGAAGAATTTTGAATGTAGGGTAAAAGCAGACAACAGCTATCAGATATCTTTAAGTGAAACCTGTTTTGTGTGAGACTGTGCTGTAATTTGAGGCTTTGTTATTGTTTCCCTGCTCCATGACCAGTAAAACCGGTTTCACAGTCCTCTCCCATATCCTCCTCTGACCTTTTCCCGGTGGAAAACCTTAAATCCCTTCAGTCCACATTTGGCTCATTCAGAGAACAGCACTTAAGAATCTGACCATTTATCTTCATCAACATGTCTCCAATGTCACTGGTTAGTTAAACACCCTGTGTGTGTCCTCCCAACTGAAATCAGGCTGCGCCAACTGACCCTAAGAAGATTAGTGCAGCGGGAGTAATGGATTTCTATACTTGAGTGCTCTGGCACTCTCTGCTACACACCTCTGTGTTTTCACTTGTCCAGTTCCTCTGTTAGATATAAGAGTGTGTCCAGAAAATTAACTCTCCTCCTAACAATCTCTGCACTGAGATCCCAGGAGGACGTACCAGATAATACAGAATTGTAGCTCACACAGTTCTGGGAGTACTAAGGTGTGTGATAAGTGGTTATATATACGAAATTCCCTTGCCACTGAATGTCGCACTGGAGAGCCAGCACTTCAGAGAGAAACAATGGGACATAAAAAAACTAAAACCCACCAAAACCGACTTTGTTAGTCTTTCCAAAAATCTGGTTTGGTCGAAATAAACCCTCAATACAATGAGTCAGATGTGAAAATATTTGTGAAAAGGGCTGCAATGGCTGCAACGTCAAATCCCTTTTTAATTTTTTCCATTGTTATTCTAAGTGTCAATATCATTATTCATCAACATTATGGAAAGAGTCCATTAACCAGAAAAGGCTGTAATATAACTATCACTCGCCAGAACCCAGAGACAACAACGGTAGCCAGTTTTTATCTTGCATATCATTATAACATTGTGACTTCAATAAAAATGGACAGAAACCAAATAAAACTCACCAAAATAGTTTGTTAGTTCGTACCAACAATCACAAACTCTAATGTAAATGAGAGAAATAGCATTTTCAGCTCTACTCAGCTGCAAGAGGAGCAGACTGGCTATGTAAACAAACCAGAGAGAGGCTGCGATAGCTACACAGGCTAAGGGAGTGTGACATCCTTGTCAGCTCAGGATCCATTACTCTACTATATCTTTATATAGCAAATAGCTGTTTACTGCTATATCAATGTTTTAAATCTCATCTCTATAACATTTAAGATCGCATGTGATGTTGTCTTCTCTCAGATTAAGGAGATTAAATGGGCTGATGTGGGAGGATGGACGGGACAAGGTGGATCTCTGTTGGGAACCAAAAGGTAAAGTATTGATCTGTTATCTCTGATTGACCAGCAGCTGCTCAGTAAAGCTGGAATCCATAAAGTTTTATTATTGATTGTTTATATTTTGTATTCAGTATAAACTTAACTGCTGCAGAGTCTGGACTCACAGCTATGTGCTTTGCAACTGATCAAATATTTTTTACATGCACTGAAACAGTGAAATTGTGTATTATGTTTTTCAAATACCCATGTTGTTCTTCCCCTTTCTTCCTTCCTTCCTTCAGAACGCTTCCTGCAAAGCATGTTGATAAAATTGCTGAGCAGATGCGAAAGCACAACATTAATGCACTGCTTATTGTCGGTGGATTTGAGGTATGTTTAAAACTCTTTTATCCCTACTGGCTGATTTTGCTTTTGAGGCTACATTCTCATCTTTGATTTCTATAAGCTTTTTATCTCTTTTGTTATGAAAATTCCTGACAGTGGTGCTAATGCTAGATTTCATATTTAGCAACAATATGAGAATTATAAAGTTATATTTTGGCTCATATATTTCAAAATGACAAAGTAACTGTTGAAGCATGACTAATTGTATTGTCAGATGTCCTTATGTGCAATATATGACAGTAAACAGTGTTTACTGTCAAACACTGTAATGTTGATCCTTTCCATCAGTCTTATCCCAGTTACACCGCCATATGCCTCCATACATAATTATGCTTCAAAGTCATTTCTCTGCCAAAACCTGCAACGGCATGTTGCACTGAAACTGTTGATTTTAAGTACTTTAAATATATTATTTGAGAGAAAGTAGGATTCTTAATTTATGACAATTATTTCAGTATCATTGTGAGTTAGATATAAATATTGTGATGATTTGGTTTTAGTTGGAAACAGAGAACACCTGCTTTTTTCCAGCCATTTCACGCTATCCCATTTAGATGCTCACCAGCTTTATTTTCCTGTGACGTATGCAAGTAAATCAGTTCATGTGTGTGAATGGAGTGTGTGAGAGAGAGAGATAATGTTTAGAGTATGTGGAGTGGTACCTGTCTGTTTCGCTGCTGTCCGTTGTGATAGACCTGGCTCCTCCCCTTGGCACCCTCCACTACTGTCTTCCCCTTCCTTGTGGCAAGTAGCACCCTCTCAACCAAACCAACCTGCCAAATCTACTCTCGCAAACACTAAAGCCCTTGGCTCTGCCCTGCAGGCCTTGCTGTCACTGCTGGAATTGTTAACGGCGCGCGGGAAATATGACGAGTTCTGTGTACCCATGGTCATGGTCCCAGCCACTGTCTCCAACAATGTGCCGGGCTCAGACCTCAGCATTGGCGCTGACACGGCTCTGAACGCCATCACTACTGTAAGTGATGGGGGCTGGCAACCAGAGTAGTTGATCTCAGCAACACAGATATAAATGCACACACACAAGCAGACAAACACTCAAACATGCTCACGTAGCCAGTCATGTTTCAAGGAGGGAGAAATCGCTCACTCGGTCATTTTACCAGTCACTCCACACATTCCCTAGCCTGTCAGTCAATTATTTGGAGGAAATTTTGTGAACATCCAGACTCCACATCTGGAATAGAACTCAAACATCAGAAATCCACCCAGGCAGACAAATTGAGTGATGTGTGTTCTGTGAGGCATGACTGGTAAAGGTTAAACCAAGTTAGAGTGTAGCACACCTCCCTTCCCTCTCAGGTAAGTGAGTGAAAACATGGAGGCATGCTGTGAGGTGCACGAGTGTCCTGACCGCCATGTTTGCTCTGCCTGCCCTTCTTTTTGTCTGCGTGTTTGTGTTCCCCTACATTATTAACATCAAGATGAGTTAACAGCTACAGAACACTAACACCAAGCTCTACAGTTAACATGCACTGTATTGCGTTTGTCTGATTGAATTGATAATAAACTCATAACTTCATTCAATAACATGATACAGCATCGTTGCTCTTGCTGTTTTTTTTTTTTTTTAAAGGTCCCATATTTTTCAGTTTTGTATTGTTTTAGTTAAAGTTTTGATATCCCTGAGAAGATATATTTGTGGTTTATAAGTATCAAAAACCATCTCAGTATAGTTTTACAGCTCCTCTCTCACGCTTCTCTCTGGAGCTCTAGCAAGGCTCGTTTGAAGGCAGTTTCAGATACTCTGTGGATATATCGTTCTGATACTTTAACAGTACTTATATAGCCCCTAGACCTGCTTTATAATCAAAACACTCACTTTCTACAATATAGGACCTTTAAAGTATCACAATAACTGAAATGAACATACACGTAACCCTATATAATACTAAGGAACTAGAGTGAATATAAAGCTCTGAGCCTTGATCTTGGCTGTGCCATCATCTTCTTCATTCCTCCGCCTGTGTGTGCAAACTCAGTCAGTGCTTGTCTTGCTTGAACATAACCGTCTACAGCAGATATGGTTGTCCTCTGCAGTGTGACTGCATTAAACTGCTGAGGCTCACAAACACACAAGTCTCTGTCCCATCTCTTCTTCTCTTTCTTGCCTCTGTTCTCTCTGTACCATCACCTTCTTTCTACATTTTATGTTCCCCTATGTTTTGTGGCTTTACTCTGCCACTCTCTCAATGCCCTTTCCTCCTTCTCTTCATTTTCCCTTCCTCACATTCTTTTTCATCTCTCTGTTCACACTTCTGTCCTCCCGTCCTTTCTGCCAAAGGGAAGCCATTGCCGCTATCACACGGAAAGAGCCGGAATGGCAGGATACGCTCTAGCAAACTGAGAGAGATTCACCTCTCTCTCTCAGTGGCCAGCCTTCTGCGGCTCTAACGCGTTTTCATGTACTGCCGCTTCAGGCGTTTGAGAGTCTGCTGCAACTGTATGAGGCTCGCACTACCTATGAGGAGCTTTGCATCCCGATGTGTATGCTGCCTGCCACCATAAGTAACAATGTGCCGGGCACAGATCTAAGTATCGGGGCAGATACGGCCCTCAATGCCATCGTGGAGGTAAGGCATTCAAACCGCCGCCGGCACAACTTTGTTCAAGATGCTAATGCAAAGAGGATGAAATTGACACATGATATCAAGTAACAGTGGAGTTAATGGTCCAGTGCTTATACCCAACAAACTGTGTTGCATGAGTATTTGTTTGTATAGTGCTTATAATATATATGAATAAATAAAACACATTGAGTTAACATGTAATAAAATTAACTCTATAAATCTAATGAACATTGTCATTGCCAACTCAAAGCTTACCCTGACTGTAGTTCTAACGTTAGCCTCAAGTATAAGACCAACTAACTAACCCGAACAGTGAGTATATGTAAAATGTTAAAGGGGCACTCCAACGGATTACACATCAAGTTCAGTTTACTTATCATAAGTAGTGCTACAAGTTGGGTCTCATGAAAGATGTCCTCAAGTTGCATTGAAGGAAATGCAGGATCCAGCGTTTTTGGAGCTTGACCCATTCTAAGGACTGAAACTCAGAATATCTTGGCCTCTGCTGTCCTGATTTAGACCATTCTTTCTTTAATCTGTCTCTACCTTTATGGAAGTGAACGTTAAATCACTGGAACGCCCCTCTGACACTGATGTAGCATCTCAAACTCTGCACCTTTTGCTGACATCACAGTCACCTGACACACTGACTATCAGCATTGGACTACCAAAGTAAAGTATCACTCTCAGATAAGGCAAAAAAGATAGTTTTAAATAGAATTGTATCCAAGTGTAGAACATTTGAACTGTAAATGATATCTGCCGTTTACTGTTTGATGTGCTCTCTCATCCTTATGCAGGACTCCAGTTTTAACTGGTGAAATCTGCATGAACTGTTTTAACAGAGCAAGTTGACTCTTGTGCAGATTGAAAAAATAAGCATGCTGGCTTTGAGAAGAGTGTTTTGCTTTTGGTTTTCTATGTGGAATGTCTTACTTAAACACTACATGACCTCAAATAATCACACTTCTAATCTTGCTGGTTTGACACTTTGATATTTTAAACATGTTTCATAATGATTAGCTTGTAATAATCACTTCATGTATACTAACATTGTGAGTTCATATGCGTGTGTCAGACTTGTGACCGCATCAAGCAGTCGGCCAGTGGGACCAAGAGACGCGTGTTCATCATTGAGACCATGGGAGGCTACTGTGGCTACCTGGCCAGTGTAGGAGGCCTGGCTGCAGGAGCTGACGCTGCCTACATCTATGAGGAGCCGTTTGACATCAGAGACCTGCAGGTAACACGTCAGCTCTTCGTAACATACAACAGGTTACATCCTTCCTCTACTCTCTGTCAGAGTTGTAAGCATCCACTCTCCAACACATAATCAAACACTCAATCCACTAGAGGGCGTTCAAGCCCAACTCTACAGTACAGTGCCATCTACTGGTCAACAACTCACATGTATTATTTATTCCCACAGGCCAATGTTGAACATTTGACAGAGAAAATGAAGACCAGCATTCAAAGAGGACTCGTCCTCAGGTAACATAACATCAGCTTAAATGACTCCACACAGTCCAAACAGTCAGAGTACATTTTAATGCTTCATCTCTTACTGATTATGTAAGGGGAACTAAATCTGCTGCTGCAGCCCTCTGTATTTTATGTTAAGCTGCTTGTATAGTAAACAGATCCAACACTGATGTCATCAGTTTAACAGACATTTTGCAGTGCAGCTCTCATCGTGATGTCTCTATAACATGAAGTCAGTGAGGAAAGAAGCTAACAATGCAACATCTCTCTCATAGCAGCAACAGTGTAAATGTAGACTCAGGTGTCTCACTTATTTTACTGTGTGTTTGTGTTTGTGTGTGTGTGTGTGTGTGTGTGTGTGTGTGTGTGTGTGCAGGAATGAGAACTGTAATGAGAACTACACAACTGACTTTATCTACCAGCTGTACTCTGAAGAAGGGAAGGGAGTGTTTGACTCCAGAAAGAATGTGCTAGGACACATGCAGCAGGTAGGCACAGCCACACTGGTTACCAGTTCATACGGACAAAATGGGAGTAGCAGTGTCAGGGGTAACAATTCGTCCAGACTAATGAACAATTTTCTAGATTTGTATCATGAATATGCATATTCCCGTTTCACATGGATGGGCTTTGTTGTGTTCTGGCTTTGTGCGTCTTGAGATTAGCGCAGATAAAACTGGATCAAACAAAACTTTGATGATCCCCAAGGGGAACTGTGTGGTTGCGTCTGCAGCAAGTAATGGGATACAGAAAAGAAAAAATGAATGTAGATTTGGTTTTAAACATGGCACAATTAACAACTTCAAATATATACTTTTAAATAATAATTGAATAATTTAAAAATGGGTTTGAATGTAGTCTCAGCCAGTTGATGCATATTTGTTGTTTGATCATCAATCAAATGTGATGTCTTTAAAAGATACACAAAAAACTATGTGTATATATTTAAGACATACAGTCTGAAACAAACTTAATTGTGGTTTTGTGTTAAAAAGCTACATTTTGATTCTTTTGTAAGGGAGGAGCACCATCTCCGTTTGACCGTAACTTTGGGACCAAGATCTCTGCCAAGGCGATGCAGTGGGTCACCAAAAAGCTGGTGGAGACGTTCAGACAGGGTAAGGTCAATGTTGTTCTTCAGTATTAGACAAAGGACCTGCGGTAGTTGCTCCTCCCTCCCTGCAGAGGCGTGACCGCAAACCTTTACCCAGATCTGTCATGGAGTCACTCTGTCTGACATTTTGATGTATTTTTATCCCCTCAAAGGAAATTATTTATTGATCATTTACATTCATCAGCATAACAGCTTAATGAGAAATTGACTTGAATGTATTTAGCCTTCCTTTTTGACAAATGACACTAACAACTGTGAGTGCTGTGTACCTCTAAACAGTTTGTCTTAAAACAACACTGCATGTGTATAAAGGCTACAATTAAAGTTAAAACTCCTCTTTGTTTTTTTCTATTTCCCATACACATGGATGACATAAGATGAAGGTAAAATCTCTTTTTTCATGCTGGCTCCATGACCATCTACATCTTTATATTTAGCTCCATGTCCCTGTCTGTCTTTTCCCCTATTCTGCCGTATTATAGATCCACACAGCCTGTCGACACACTTGTGGGGCGAAGCTACAATGTGCCTTACACACTTATCAGCAGCCACCATGCTATCCTATTTCCAGTTCATGAGTTATCTGAAATATGAGCATGGGCTGAATGAATAAGCACACACATTTCTCTTTCCTGCTTCTCCCCACATTTCAGTCTATAGCGCTTCATGTTGCTTTTTAGTAGTGACGGTTTCTGTACCATCACCTCTTTGTATATTGTTTTTAGATTTTCTGTTGCACCACTCCATGGTAGTCCTCCTGTAGATCCATACAATAATAGTTTCATTTACAATCTTCAAGGTAGCTACTGGCTAGAAGAAAAGAGTCATCATCACAAGCTCCCAAACCCACTGCCAAATGTCTGTGCTACTGTATGTTTGCAACCACACAGCTACATGACGTTCCTGTGTTTCCACCTCTGATGCTACGCTGTTTCCCTGCAGGCCGAGTGTTTGCTAACACCGAGGACTCCTGCTGTCTGCTGGGGATGCGGCGCAGGGCTCTGGTCTTCCAGCCCGTTGTACAACTCAAGGATGAGACGGACTTTGTGTACGTACCACACTACTTCAGGGACTCTACCAATTTGATACAGTTGTGTAATGTCTACTGTGGCTCTAAAGGGAGCTCTCCAAAGTCAGAAAGCCTGTAGTACAAGCTAGGGCTGTGACGGATGAAAGAAATATGTATTTAGAAGGCAAGGATGGTTATTGAATTGCATTATGGGAAATCTAGCATTTTTGGAGCTTGAGTCATATTAACTAAAAATCAGGATATCTCGACCTCTGCTGCATCGATTTTGACCATTGTAGCATTCCAGCTAGTGTCTGATGAGGTCTCAGACTTTACCCCTGCAACAGAGAACCGGAGATAATATAATACACTCAATAAGAAGCCAGGAAGTGAGTGCTTAAGATAATAAAATGCACAATAAGACATAACCACACTGGCAGTTCTATTTTCCTAATTGTTTCATGTTGGCTGGCTCACCCAACCTGCTGCCAAAACTAAGATGATGTGTAAAATGTAATGTATAAATATAGGTTTGTAAAAAATGTTAGATAATTATTATTAAATATTTATGTTAGAGCTGATCCATCATTGATCAGAAATACCAGTTTTAGCATTCAAAGTCACTCTTGTAGCACATATCCAGATGGGAATTGATCTTTTCACTGCTCCCCATTCATTAGAATGTATTCGATTTGTTACCGTCAGAAATGAACATTAGACGTTTGTACAACAGCGTAAAAAAAGCGCTGAGATTTCCCCGTCTGTCTGCAGTCACAGGATCCCGAAGGAGCAGTGGTGGTTGAAGCTGCGTCCTCTGATGAAGATCCTGGCTAAGTACAAGACGAGCTACGACGTCTCAGACTCCGGACAGCTGGAGCACGTCGTACGCAACCGGCCTAAAGAGTCGGACGCTTCAGTAGCCATGTGAAGGCCAGTGCGTACGGTGGCCTGCAAAGTCTGTGTGTAAGACTGAGAGTCTGTGAGGCGTCGGTACGTGTGATGTAAGAGCTTCAGTAACGTCAACAACCGTCTCCGTTTGGCCTCATTTATTTCCTGTCTGTGTCATTTCCTTCAATGTCACTCCACTCTGTTCTGCCTTGACAAACTCATGAACTGTAACTTAGCCTCTGCAGTGTTTCTAATATCAAACACACACATACTCTGCGCACACATACACACAGCTGTCCTGCCATGCCTCAGTGTGTCCTCGTTGCCCTGGATGTTTTAGTGTCACCGTTGTTTTCAAATTGCACTTTCTCTGTCTGCAGTTGCTTAGGCAGGCTCTGAGCCCAGAGCTGCACGAGGACAGAATAGACATTGCATCTGTTGTGAAAACCAGTGTGTATATCTGCCTAGAACCAGTGTGAGGTTCAGCATATTTATGTGAGACTGATGCAATACAGTTCTACTGCTGCAAGTAAAGAGAACTGCGTGCTGTGCTTTACACTGAAACTAATATTTATCTTTTTAACATTGTTTATTTCGCTTGTAAACATGGATATATTAACTGTAGGCACTGCTGTACTGAGTAGCTGTCTGTCATATTGCACCAACAAGTTAGATGTGTAAGAGACTAATGTTTCCCACAGAATAAAATTCAGACTTGAGAAGTGTACCCTATTGATTAGTGTCGCTGGATTTATTTATTCAACTCCTTAACATCCTTTAAAGGTCCAGTGTGTAACATTTAGGAGGATCTATTGGCAGAAAAGGAATATGACATTCATAGGTATGTTTTATATAGGAATCTTTATGTTTCTACAGTAGCCCAGGACGGACAAACCCTGGCTCTTGATAGGGACTTTGGTGTGTTTCATGGCAACCATAGTTTCTCCTACATGCTCATAAAGGGATGGTGAAGGTGTAATCTGCAACTCCACCGCTAGATGCCACTAAATCCTACACACTGGTCCTTTAAGTAGCTTTGAAGTTGGAAAGATCATTGTATCCCACTCTATCTGACAGTATCATATGTATTCTTTATCGAGTCTTCCCAGCTCATCATTTAAACTGTATGATGTTAGCAGAGTGAAATATTCAAACCCAAGACTCATAATTCATGGCAGCACCACATCTAATGGAAATATTCTTGATGTGCATCATTTGATACACGTTTCCCAAAAATTCAACCTGAAATAACGTTTTGGATCTTCACTTGAATCAGATACATTTCATTGGGTTTCACCAGAGCTTGTAAAGGATCCCCCACCAGCAGGTTAGTGGCCATAGAAGGATTATTGAACAGGCCTACGGAGCAGAGGCCCGGGGGGATCTAAGGGGCAGGGTGCCACTGGGTCGGAGCCTCAGTTCGAACTCAAATTACAAAACGACTACCAAACAAACACATAGAGGAACAAAATGACCATAAGAGACAAAAAAACAACCTCACCGTGTGTCTTACTGTTATGTAGGACGGGTGGGGGGCCTTTTGCATGTCTTTGCCCAGGGGCTATTTCATAATGCATTCATTCTCTTTCAAGAAAAATTGCTCCTTGATGGTGGTCTGTTGTCGTTCAGCTTGTTAACAATATAAACACAGTAGAGAAATACATAAAGGCAACAAATGGAAAACATGATTAATATAAATATCTTGTAAAAACAAGGGGAAATTGCTCAATTTGTCATGCAAAACAGGCCAATCTAACAGCAAACCAGCTTCAGACCACTTCCCCAAAAAAATCATTTCCAGTATTTTCATCCTCTCCAATAAACCCAAAGATGTCGGGCAGGAAGTATGGAAACAGAATTTAAAGAAGCATCTTCTGATAAACCAAACTAATTGCTTAAAGCCAGATTAAAGACGCCCCCCCCGATTTAGCACTAGTGCTGGTGTTTTTAAATGTTCCACCTAAGAGCCAGCAGATGGCGGCAGAGCACTGTCACATCGCCGGTGCCCGGGTTCATCGGGTGCAGTATGACACGGATTCCCTCCATCAGTTGCTGTCCACTTCTGCTCTTCACCATTTCACTATATGGTGGCTTAAATCCTCTAAAGTAGATTAACTGTGTGAGGCCTTGTGTGAATGTGCATATATGTGTGTACGTGTGTGTCTGCAGCCATAATTAGGAATTAATCTTATCATTTGAAAGAAAATTTCAATTTCCCATGGGTGTATTAATTGTGTATACATGTAATTGGGCTGCTTTTTCTCGCCTAAATGGACCTTTTTTCTATCTTAACTGTGAGTAATTACATGCATATAGGGCCGGGATGAGGCCATCTCTTAGCGACAGTGCGGTGACGGGAAATGTAATTTGTAGAAAAAGCTACCTGAATCACCTTTACTCCCTTCAGACCCTCGTAGAATAATTATCATCCTTAACTTAAACTGGTGTGGTTAATTCAGCCTCACTCCCACGCCTCTGCACAAAAGGACGCCTCGTTTCCCATCGCTATAATTTCCTCGGACCCCAATTGGCACATGGTTCATTGTGGAGGCATTTTCATGTTGCTGGCTACTTCTCTCTGAGCATGAAATTAGTAAATCCAATAATTTGGGTTGATTTAAGAATGCAAAGGGAGACCGCGGGGTCATATGCCCATAGGTAATCAATACTAATTACCATTTCATTTCTCCCCCCACTTTCTTTTCTTCTAGAATCGCATGCGAATCTGATCTCATTGGACTGATTAAAGGTTGCAAATGAAGGGTCCTCACTCCCTGATTCTCATCAAAGGCCAACCGCACGCTCTGTAACTTTGTCTTCATTTAATTCTACATTGTCTTCAGACAAGGCCCCAATTATAAGCTCGCGGTGAATCTCCAAAATAGCTCGCGCACATTGACCTTTTTAGATTAAAAGCACATTCTCTATCTCTCATGGAGTCCCATACAGTCCAATTTCCCTGCTAATGAACCAGAGTGGTTGGAAGTTCTGGTGCTGTAATAACTAGTGAGGAGCAGCAATGCTAAAATACTATCACTGTGAAGGTATTGTGATAACAATAGCAAGGAGAGCCAATAAGTCTTAGCTGGCTGAGATTGAAAAAGCAATATTTCTTTCTAATGAATCACATATGTGACATTCATAATGAATATTTATGAATAAATAAATCCATGCAAAAATAAATTAGCACGTAATACATTCCAGGAGAGAGTGCAAGATGAAAAAGCACAGAACAGTAGCAGTTATAGATTTTAGATACGAGTCTGCTGCAGTCCCTGTTGGCTGCACTGAAAACGTATACTTCGCTTGAGCCGGTTGCCAAATAAACAAGGAGTGAATCACAGGACCTGTTTCCAGACGTTGGATAAGGGATTTGATCCACCTTGCACACACAAGAGAAGCTCTGGCTTAAAACAAGCCCAGTGAATCGCACTCCAATTTAGGCTTCCCACAATCCAGCAGGCATGTGGCGAAATACTCCTGCGAGAATCTCCTTTTGACAATTAAGACACCCATGGAGGCATGGAAAGCTCTCAATTCCATTAGCCTCTGTGCTGTTTCACTCTATCTGTCCACTGAGCCTTAACTTACTTATTAGTACAAGTCTGCCGTATTTTGTTAGGGAAGCGATTAGTGAAATCTACATGAAAAGGCAATTTCCCTCTTCTTTTCTTTGCTTTCACTCTCTCACACTTCATTGAGATCAGACAGATCTAAAGAATGGCATTTGCGCGCTAATGCAATTCGCCCTGCATCATTTCGGATGTTATTCTCCGGGTGGAAGTGACTTGTGTCTTTATTTACTCGTTTCTGTGTGACAAATGGTCAGAGTTGGCTAAAATTACATCGGCGCTGGTTTGCTCCCCCTATTTAACTAAAGGCTCGGAGCATCGGCTGGCAGTCAGCTCTGAGACTGCAGCTCCACTTTGATGTATTGGAGTTAATATCTTCCTGACATTTCTCAGGACAGATTTTCATCACTGGATTCATCTGTACTTTTGGGGCTATGTGATAAATGAGTCAGGACATTCATTTTCCTCCCCTCGTCTCTCGCCTCTGTAGAGAAAAGATGTGTGTGTGTGTGTGTGTGTGTGTGTGTGTGAGTGCATGTGTAAATATGTATCTACTGCTGAGATGCAGGGGTGTGAATCTTTTCATGAGGTAGGCTGTGCTTGTGTGTGTGTGTGTGTGTGTGTGTGTGTGTGTGTGTGTGTGTGTTCCTTTTGTGTGTTTCCAAATCCAGCCCCAGTGAGCCCGAGCAGGCGGGAGTCTGACGCGAGCGTACTTGTGACACGAAATAGACGGCGGCATTAATGGAACTGACATTAATTTGACAGAGCGCTCACTAACATGCGAAGTCACTCGCAGTTCATAATAATAATATTAACTCTGCATTAACATGCAAGGCTGTCTGTTGCACCAGATGCCGAGCGGGGCTTTTTTTTTTTGGAGAGCGGGTGCTGCAGCCTGTCTTTCTGGGCCACGAGTGGATCGCGGTTAGAGTATGCACAACGAGAAAAGCCTCATTCTTACTGTGTGTGTATCCCCAGTGCTGCTGACATACTGAAACTCCTCTGCTGTGGCTGCAGGGAGACACTCTGCACCTCAGCCACCATCAAGCAGCATTCTCGAAATAGCTAAAAGCGAACCAGACGGGGTGGAGGTTAAAGTTTAGGGAGCAGGTTTAGACATAAAACCTGTTTGTCACTGCACGCTGGATGTATCTTTTTCAACTTGATGAATTGCTAGCATGCCCTTGAGCGCAGAGGCCCACTAACGCACACACATAACAGGTGTAGCCAGTGGAAAAGCTGAAGGCTATTTAGTCCCGGCCATTAACACTAATCAAAAACCACTTTACCAGATAAGAACTGCAGTGGCCATCTAGCAACTACAGTCACCCACATCCCTCTTTGCTGATATTGACCGGGCTTAAACAAGGTGCCAGTGGTAGGAGCCATGAAGGTGATGAAGAGATTCGGGTGAGAGTGCTAATTCGTGGCGAAGCGAAAGAGGGACCGCTCAATTGCTGACCCCAATGATTAGTCTATGACACATCGCAGAGATTGCGTCCCGATCAGGTGAGAGCACAATCGCAGCACAACATGGATGCATCCAAAAGACATTCACGCAAGGCATAGTGAGACAAAATATGTAGAGCCAGCCAGAAGAAAATAAAATGCAGGGTTACACACTCCCTTTAACACACACACATACACACACACACACACACACACACACACAAAGGCCTATACAGTATGGATTGGGCATTGACCAAACCTCATGAAAGATGCAGTTATGCAGATGGCCTCAGTGTGAGTGAATGCAGGCCATAAGGGGGCTGGTGTGGAGCAGCCAAAAGCTTCCCCCCTCTGCTGAACGGTCAGCTCGTCAGGGCGACAGAAACCTTCTAGTGTCACACTGAATCGCTAAAATACAATAGTGCAAAGCTATCGTTTTGTTAGCAAAAATGTAGTACCTATTTCTTTCTACAAGGAGGAGATTTCTTGGACAAAAAAAGCTGCTATAATCAATATTTTCATATTAACAATGGATCATATGACTGCCTGTGGGTTATAACCTGACTCTGCAGCAGCCCTCAGCTCTACAGAGCTTTATAGCATCTTTTAGCTCATTGTTTTCATCTCCATCTTCCGGTCTCACCGTGTTGTTGAAGATATTGTTATGGCATTTTATGCTTTAGAAGACAGTGACGGCTGGAGAGATGGATA